ACTATCTATGTTTCGAGTCAAGTTCTTTAACAAATCTAAAAATGAATAAAGTAACAAAAACTATAAAACACAAAAAACCACAATCATCACCAAGTTCGCAAAACCTATCATTCACCAATATTCGTGGTCTTCGAAGTAACTTTTCTTCTATTGAGTCTTACCTCTTGCAAAGTTCACCAGACCTACTTGCTCTTTGTGAGATTATTTTTAGTTCAGCTGTTTTATCTTGCAATCTTAGTGTTGATGGTTATCTTCCTTTAATTCGTAAAGACTCCAATAGCCACATGCTTGGCCTGGGCATTTACATTCGTAAGAATTCTCCCATTTGTCGGGAAACTAGATTTGAATCCACAGACTACTCTTTTATGTGCTTTCGTTGAGCACCATTTCACTTTATTACCTTTCTCTTAGTTCTATATCGCTCTCCCTCATCTCAAGACTGCACTCTTCTTGATGTTATTTCTGATTATATTAACCAAGCCCTCATTCTTTATCCATCAGCCAATATTGTTGTTGTTGGTAACTTTAATTTTCATCACACTGAATGGCTTGGCTCAAGTGTCAGTGACTCTGCAGGCAATAAGGCCCACAACTTTGGCTTTCTCAATCGCTAACTCAAATAGTCTACTTTCCAACTCGTTTTCCAGACAACTCGAATCACTTACCTTCTCTACTCGACTTATTTCTTGTTTCTGATCCTAGTCAGTACTCAGTTTCTTCACATTCACCCTTAGGTGCGTCTGATCATGGTTTAGTCTCTCTAAAACTATTATCTCATTCTTCTTTACCATCAGAATACCTCTATAATCGTACATCTTACAACTACCTTAAAGCTGACTGAGAATCTTTCCATGATTTTCTTCGTGATGGCCCCTGTTTAGAAATCTTTGGTCTCCCTGTTGACATATGTGCTTCTTACATAACTTCGTCGATTCAGGCTGGCATGGAATCCTTTATTCCTTCTCAACAATTCCAGGTCAAGCCTCACTCTTCTCTATGGTTTTCCTCACATTGTGCTGCTGCAATTGCCAATCGAAACCATTACTTCCATATCTATCAGCAAAACAATTCTCTAGAAAACAGACGTCTCTTTATTACTGCTAGGAACCATTGTAAAAAGGTTTTGTCTAACGCCAAAACCCGCTATTATCAGATCATGAAATCTCGTATTTCATCACAAAAATTAGGCTCTTGTGACTTTTGGAGAATCTTTAATAGTATTAATATTAAGGGCAAGTCTGTAATTCCACCTTTTTTGTATGGTTCAGACTTTTTCACCTCATCTAAAGACAAAGCTGAATTGTTTGCCAAGAACTTTTCATCAATATTATCTCTTGATGCCACTAGTTGCGTTTTACCTGATATAGCCGTCAAACAGGTTGATCCATTGCTCGACATTCGTATCACTCCAGCTTCTGTATCTAAAATGATTTCCCGCTTAGACTCTTCTACAGCTTGCGGCCCGGACAACACACCTGTTATAATCTTGCAGAAGTGTTCAAGGAGCTGTCGTCAATCCTTTCAAAACTATTTAACAAGTGCTTATCAGAGTCTTGTTTTTCAGCCTGCTGGAAAACAGCATCTGTTATCCCTATTTTTCAAAATTCTGGAGAGCGATCGATTCATCTAACTACCGTCCCATTACTCTTCTTCCTATCATAAGCAAGGTTTTTGAATCTTTAATTAACAAACACTTAATTTCTCATCTCGAATCACATAACCTACTTTCTGATCATCAGTATGGATTTCGATCTTCTCGTTGTACGGCTGATTTGCTATCAGTAATAACCGATAGGTTTTATCGCGCATTAGATAAAGGTGGAGAGGTTAAGGCCACTGCTCTTGACATTTCTAAAGCGTTTGATAAAGTTTGGCATGCTGGTCTTCTCCATAAGCTTTCTTTTTATTGTGTATCTGGAAACATCTTTAAGATTATTGAATACTTTCTTTCCAATCGTAGTATAAAAGTTGTCCTTGATGGACAGCACTCTTCTCCTTACTCTGTAACCTCAGCGATTCCCCAAGGTTCAATCTTTTGCCCTATACTCTTTTTAATTTACATTAACGATCTTCCAAATATTCTCACATCTAAGGTGCATTGTTTGCTGATGATACTACCATTTATTCTTCTCACGATAAGAAGCCAACTCCCTTTGATTGCTTGCAGGGAGTATGTGAGCTTGAAAAGGATCTAACTTCTGCTACAGCATCGGGCTCACAGTGGCTGGTGAACTTTAATTCAGATAAAACTCAATTTTTTTCGGCCAATCGTTATCGCAATAATTTAGACCTTCCTATATTTATGAACGGTAATGTACTCGATGAGTCTCCTTCACTTCATTTTCTAGGATTAACTCTTACTTCTGATCTTTCTTGGAAACCTTATATCAAATCCGTTGCAAAATAAGCATCTGCTAAAGATGCTTTTCTTTATCGAGCTCGTCACTTTTTTACTCTGGATTCTATTCTCTATCTCTATCAATCTCAAATCCGGCCTTGT